AACCCCTTAATCACACTTTTTATTTTTGCCTTCTCTTCGAAAAACAACTCCAAAACCACTGCCGCCACCTTATGCCTATTAGGAAGTTTGTACTTTGGATTCAAGTCACGAATAAAAGCTCAAAAATCCTCTTGATCGACCTCCCTAAAAGGCATCTCCGCTATTATAATCCACCTCGCACATCTCTTATCAAGTCTTTTTTGACTGAAAGTGTGAATGACAACTGCACCTCCCATCCTCGCTTGTGTCAATGTTGGTTGGTTCGGATCCACACTCTCAAAGAGACTATAACATGAGCATTTCTTCAAATGCTTAAGAATTCCCGCCGTCCTATGAATTCTACGATGTGCCGGTACTAAGAGTTTGCAATGATTTCATCTAGCCATGTACGATTCCACCCCATTATTATCGGTGATAATTACCCTCTTAGCATAATTCCATTCTCTCACTACTTCTTCTACTTCCTCTTCCCCCTACTCCCCTTGTTCTTCTACTTGTTCTAATGCAATATCCTTCTCCACATCTAGATCATCATCCCAACAATCTTCATAATAGTCATCATGCAGATAATCTTGAGGTGAAGGAGTGCCTAGTTGAAGGGTACCACTAGGTTGGATTTGTTTTCGTTTTCCTAATACTGAGACCATAGGTGTACTAGATTGGCTACTAGACCTGTCCATCCTAACAAATATAATAACAATGCACATTAATATATCACAACCACATTTCAACATATATCCAAGTTCCAATACAATAAATCACATATCCAATTCAAATGCAATAACATATTCAATATGTGCAAAGTAAGCACAAAATTAAATTTTAAATCTATGCATGCTAAATGGCATTTCTTAAGAGAAAACAATTAAGGAGAATTCTCAATCATATCTATTTGGATAGAGTACTAAGGAAACAATTAAGGAGAATTCTCAAATCAAATCATATCTATTCTCAAATCAAATCATATTAATTAAAGAGAATGCTTAAGAGGAAACAATGAAGATAGCGTACTAACCTTAAAAAGCCTCAATTCAAACCGAGGACCGATCTCCTTAAGCTCAATTCTATACAGATAATCCTTCTAGTGTCAATAGGTAAGTTAAAGTAACAGACGGAACCATTGAACAAAAATGAGCATTAAAATTTCAAATATGAATTGGACAAGCATGACAGGCAATTCTATGTGACCACAATTTGACCTTGCTTAACCACATTACAACAAACTTTCAAATACACACAGTTAGAACAGATCAGGGAAGAAAAGGACATTCAAAATCTATTGCAACTCCCTAAACCTTCTCAGATCAATGCAAAAGAGATACTTCTTCAACAAGATTTGCTTGCATTCAAAGAATGAGGTAACAGATGCTGACCTCACTTTTGTCAGGTAACATATGCCTTTCTAGTTTCTAATCAAAAAGACATCAAACCCGAATTCCTTTAAATTCAGTGGTATTATAGACTATATTGGCACAACCAAGATCATGACAATAATTTCAATTCTCTTTTTATGCAACAAATGAAGAATAACTTATCCAACCTAGTCACTGTGTAACTCAACACTATAAAATTCACCGAAACAAATGAATTGCTTTACCCACATAATAAACAATGAAAACTCAGAAGCCGGAGAATTTTGAATGCAATTATGCAAACAAGAAGGAAATGAGAGAAAAAATCTATCCAAGAACATATTATCATACATATAAAGTATACAGGTTTTCAATTACCTACTAACACTAAAATTTTCAATAAAGATACCATAAAACATCATAAGTTTCAGCAAAAGTTTCAACTTCCAAGAATCAAAACATCGGTGCCATGTACATCATTGTTTAAGCATAATGCAACATCAACTGGATTACACTAGACCTCTCAACCCCCATTACATATCTTCTACTTCATGACCCTCAAAACAAGAACTCGGCAACACAAACTCAACACAACTATTACGCAAAATAACAAAATCTAGGGCTCTAATTCACCCAAGCACAATTCTTTTCAATGCTAATTCAACAACATCAGCAACAAAAATGCAAGAAATCTTCTTTATTTTTCGATGTAATTATCGAACATATATCATATATACAATCTGAAATATCGTCCTCCACATCCAAATATATACTCAACATTAACATCAAATCTTAATTTCCCGTAACCAAACAAGATGCTAAATCAAATAATGGACAAAAAAAAGTTGAGTTTGAGAGATGATTTGTGACATACCGGATCATTAACCTCAGGCTCAAGTTTCAACGATCTCTTTCTTTACTCTGCTTAGTAAAGGCACTGTATAAACCATAAATCATCAAAATCCATATTAGTATCCTCCAAGTGCTAAATTTCATAAACCCTAATCTAGAATTCGACCCCTAAATTAATTTTAAAATTTACCTGATTTGGGGGAGAATCGGTGCATAGTGCACTGAAATCTGGATGAAGAAGTCGAGAGAGAGAGAGAGAGAGAGAGAGAGATCAAAGAGGTGAGTAGCACCGATGGCCGTGGCTCTGCCTCTATATCGTGAAGGAAGGCTCATCCACAATGAATGATGAGAAGTCAAGAGAGGGGGAGAGAGATCAAAGAGGTGATAGGTCAGTCGAGAGAGAGGTGAGTCACTTATGTGATGTGGGTGTGGTCGGATTCGAAGACGGAGAGAGAAATCAGTGAAGAGGGTGGTGGGGTGAAGTTTGAGGTGAGGTCGAGTCGAGAGGCGGAGAGAGAGAGTGACTGAGTTCTAAGGGTTTAATTTGTATTGACGGTTAAGATTAAATTTCAACCAAATCTGACGACTGTTACAATTCCAAATATATATTTAAAATTAAATAATATTTTTTTTATTTCGATTCGATTCGGTTCGAGATTACCGAACGAATGAAAATGTGAGACTGATTCCCGTACCAAAATTTTAGGATCGGTTCGGTATTGGGTATCGAAATTTTTAGTATTTTCGGTTTGGAATTGGATCGGTATTGGGTACCGAAATTTTTGGGATCGGTTTCGTGATTTTTGCAATTCGGTTTGGAATATTCGGTATTTTTTTCCACCCCTACTTATTTTCTTAACCTTTTCAATGAAGAACACGAGAGGAGTACTTTGTTGGGTGAGTTAATTAACTTGGAAGAGTGTAAAAATTATTCCTCCTACCACCAAATTAGGAAAGAGTAAGTGATTGTGGCTTTGAAAAATGAGAAGAATAGAAAAGCAATGGGTCCTGGTGATATACTTATTGAAGTGTGAAAGGTTCTGTGAGAGACAAGTATAGCATGACTCACAATCCTTTTCAATAAGATTTTGGAAACGAAGAAGATGCCAAATGAGTGGAGAAAAAGCACTTTGGTGCCTATCTACAAGAATAAGGGCAACATATAAAATTGCATGAACTATAGGGTATTAAGTGAATGAGTCTACAATGAAGCTTTGGGAGAGAGTAATTGAGTATAGATTGAGGCAAGAGACACGGATCTCAGACAATCAATTTGGGTTCATGCTAGGTTGCTCAACCATGAAGGCAATCTATCTCTTACGAAGATTGATGGAACGATATAAAGATATGCAAAAATATTTGCATATGATTTTTATAGATTTGGAAAAAGCGCATTCAATATGATATCCCTTGGTGTATGCTTTTCGAATATGATATAGTGCTGATAGATGAAACGCTAAAGGGAGTAAATATGAAGCTTAACCATTGGCGGGAAGTGTTGGAATCTAAAGGTCATCGCCTAAGTAGGTCAAAAACAAAGTATATAAAGTGCAACTTGAGTGGGTATGGGGTTCCAAATGAGATAGGGGTGAGGTTTGGAGAATTGGATGAAGATTTCAACCATAGAAGTTCATCAAGTGTGTTGTGCGACCGTCCTACGCCACTAAAGTTCAAGGAAATTTTTTGTAGGACTGCAATAAGGCCAACAATGCTTTATGGCATGGAATGTTGGGCGGTCAAGCATCAACATGTGCAAAAAATGAGGGTGGCGGAGAAAATAATGCTTCGTTGGCTTTGTGGGCACACGAGAAAAGACAGGATTAGATGAGAGAAAATTGACTAAGGTGGTTTGAACATGTGAACTGAAGATTTACAGATGCTCCAGTTAAAAATACGATTATGAGATAGTGGCTCATGGTAAAAGGCGTAGAGGAACACTTGGAAAAAAACTTTAGAAAAAGACATGGCGTACTTGGAGCTAACGGAAGACAAGGCGTAACATCAAGCGCAATGATCTTTTGGAATTCATACAGTCGATCCCACTTAATGAGATAAAGCTTTGTCTGAATTTGTTTACATATTCAAAACGAGAGATGTGATGAATGAGAATGTTACTCAAATGTTCATGCATACAATAAACAAACCCTTCCTCGGTGATCATATACCGAGTGTTCAAGTATAAGATGAAAAAACTCATACTTTACATCACAAAAGAAATATTTTTTTTTCTTCAAAGGCCGGACTACTTAATAGTTCATATAATGAAACGTATGATTAAATTTAAAAAAAAATACTATTTTTCTCAACTTGCCTATCTATTGAACAAAAACTTAAACCAAGTAAATAGTTGAGACTACTAAAAACAAACCCTACAAAACATGCCCCGAAAATAACTCATTTTTATTTGTCATTGTTGGTCTAATTTATAAGTTTGACGTTGACACTGCTGACCCATCATTTAGGAGAGGATTTGTTTATTCAGCTGCTAATCTCTACATCCACATCCCCATCCCCATCCCCAAAAGTCCAAACTCCAAACTCCAATCCCAACTCCTCTTTCTTTGTCCCCTCCCCTTCTTTGGATCCTTTCCCTCCTTCACCTTCACCACCAAATCACCATCTACAACCCACATTATTAATTAATTAACACTAATAACCCATAATTACAAAAATCATAAAAATAGCCCAAAATAAAATTAAATTAAATACATGATAAAACGACAGCGTTTCCGTTGCATGAGAGCCGAATCCTGCCCACGGTGGTCCCCCTTTTCTCTTTTTTCTCATATTATTCTGTTTCTCAAAAAAGACAGCCGGAGCCGAGAGGGAGGAGACGCTGACTCAAAAGTAACACTCCGAGAGCTCCACCCCTTAGACTCTTTCTCTCTTTCTCCTCTCTCTCTCTGCACCTCAAAAGCCAGCATCTTCTTCGATCTTCCATGCCCATTTCCCCAATCTCAGCTGACTAGCCAATCATGGGCTGCACCCAGTCCAAGATCGAGAACGAAGAAGCGGTCTCCCGCTGCAAAGATCGCAAGCTCTTCATGAAAGAAGCGGTCTCCTTCCGTAACGCCTTCGCCGCCGCCCACTCCTCCTACGCCATCTACTTGAAGAACACCGGCGCCGCCTTAAGCGACTACGCCCAGGGCGAGGTGGTGGGCCCACACCCGCCCCATTTACAGTCCCACCAGCCCAATTTAGCCTCCGCCGCCGCCGTTGGCGTCCCCGCCCCGCCTCCTTTTGTGGATACTTTTCCTCCGCCGCCTCCGCCGCTCCCTAGCTTCTCCAACTCCCCTTTACAGCGCGCCGCCAGCATGCCCGAAATCAAACCTGACCCCAAGCCCCGGCCCAAGTCCAAGCCCAAGACCATCATTGAGGGGGACGAGGATGATGATGATGAGGTGATTGAGAATAGCGAGAGCTTGATGCGTAGGACTAGCAGGGGCAGCCGGGGCAAGAGAGGGGTTGTGGAGAATGATCACAATTTGGATGGTCCACCGCCAGTGTCATCTCCGGCACCGCCGGTTTCGGTGGAGAGCCGGACGGTGCCGCCGCTGCCGCAGCATCGAGACAGCCCTTATGACTTCTTTTTCTCAGTGGAGGACATGCCGGCGTCGACGCTGGCCGACGCCGAAGAGATTGAGCGAAAGGTGTATGACGAAAGGCCGCCGACGAGAGAAGAGAGTATTGAAGAGGAGGAGGTGTTCGAAGAAAGTCCGAAGAGAGTGGAGAAGGACGAAGAGGAGGAGGTGGAAAGGAGTCCGAAAGTTGAGGAGGTTGTGGCGGCTCCTCCGCCTCCGGTGGTGGAGGAGGTTCCCGGTGGGTCCACTGGAAAGAGCCTGAAGAAGGCGAAGGCGGCGGTGCCAAAGGGGACTGTGAATATGCTGCAGATATTTATGGAACTTGATGACCATTTTCTCAAGGCTTCGGAGAGTGCCCATGACGTTTCCAAGATGTTGGAGGCCACCCGGCTCCACTATCACTCCAATTTTGCTGATAATCGAGGTAATCTTATGATTCTGTTGTTGGGTTTGTTATGTTATGTTCGAGTAATCCTATGATGTTTTCAGACCGAAAAAGTGTGATTCTGATGTTTGCTGGCAATTACTGTGATTACAATTGCAGGGCACATTGATCACTCTGCTAGAGTGATGCGTGTTATCACATGGAATCGGTCTTTTAGAGGATTGCCAAATGTAGATGACGGCAAGGATGATTTCGACTCAGAAGAGCATGAAACTCACGCTACCGTCTTGGATAAGTTGTTGGCTTGGGAGAAAAAGCTATACGATGAAGTCAAGGTACTCCAAAAACTCCATTGTTTCCGTTTTCATTTTTCTTTCAATGTGATAGGAAATGGTGTAAGGAACTGCTACATTGCGTTTGCATTCACCCTTTAATCCTTTTTGCTTCCACTGATTTCAATATGCTGATTGAATGCTACATTGTTCGACACAACTTTGCGAATCTGTCGTTGTTGTCGTTTGGTTTGGCTGTATTGTGGTCCTTTGAACTTTAGTAATGCTCTTCCCTGATGTCAGTAGTCATTAATCGTGTACTGAATCTTATTTGGGATTGGTTTGTGGATAGACAGGTGAGCTTATGAAATATGAGTACCAAAAGAAGGTTACCTCGCTGAACAGGCTGAAGAAACGAGGTACTAACTCTGAAGCATTGGAGAAAGCAAAAGCAGCTGTAAGTCATCTGCATACAAGGTACATTGTTGACATGCAGTCCATGGATTCAACAGTATCAGAGATAAACTCTTTACGAGATGAACAATTATACCCAAAACTTGTTCAGCTTGTCGAGGGGTGAGTTTTTCTTGATAACTACATTTATTTATGAGCAGTTTTGTTGTTTCAGTTATCTTACTTTTTGTTGAGTTCCTGCTTTTCGACATCTTAATTTATTTATTGCATTTGGTGATAGAGAACAATAGTCTACTTGTGCACATTGTTTGGGCTGATTAGGGATTTGATAGATGGTTTAATGGGGGTATAATAAGTTGTAGGTAGATATTGCAAATAATGAGCTTTAGCTACATATTTTCTCCCGCGAAACTTCCAGATAATGTTGCAAGAACTGCTATTCAGAATGTTAGAGTCTTTATATCTGCCCAGGCATATTTGACAAGCTATGTGTGTTATGTAGAACCTCTGAATTTGGACGCTGATCAGTTGGAATTGATTCATATTTTTCATGTTGGAAAGCATTCAACATAAGATTTCCTTTCTTCGCATCTTATGAGTGGATGGTGCTACCCTTCGGTGTGAAGACCTGTTAAAAAGCATCTAGTTCCTATACATTTTGAAGGAAACCTATAGATATTGACCCATCCTAATGTGTTCTAGATCTTATTGCTCCAAGAGATTCTTTTATTTTGTTTTGGTTAATTAACATTCAGGGTTTTATTTTGTTTTAGTTTATTAACACTTGGGGTCATTGCCCTGCCTAGACACATGGTGTCTTGGCACTGATGGACTTTACCACCGAACTGACCTTTTGGGAGTTTAGATCTTTAGTGCTTGAACGGTTTTACTGCTTCGTCTTCAAACATGAAATTTGAAACCACTTAAAATGACTCACGGACTGCAGGATGGCTAGTATGTGGGGAACAATGCGAGCTCACCATGAGACCCAATCGAAGATTGTGACAGCACTCAGGTCGTTGGATATCTCCCAATGTCCCAAGCATACAAGTGAGCACCACCATGAGCGCACAATACAGCTGTTTGGTGTTGTGCAAGGGTGGCATGGTGAGTTTGAGAAGCTTGTGAGTCAACAAAAGGAGTACATAAAAGCCCTCAACAATTGGTTAAAACTTAATCTCATCCCCATTGAGAGCAACTTGAAGGAGAAGGTTTCTTCCCCTCCAAGAATTCAACGACCCCCTATTCAGGAACTCCTCCTTGCTTGGCATGACCATCTAGAGAAACTTCCAGACGATGTTGCAAGAATGGCGATACACAACTTTGCTGCTGTAATTAATACTATTATGATTCACCAAGAGGAAGAAATTAAAATGAAGGAGAAATGTGAAGACACCAGGAAAGAACTTTCCCGCAAGGCCAGACAATTCGAAGACTGGTACAATAAAAATATGCACAAGACCATACCGGACGAAGGAGATACAGATAGGCCAGAAGGCCACACTCGAAGTGATGTGGTTGCAGAAAAGCAGTTTGCAGTGGAGACAGTGAAGAAGAGGTTAGAAGAGGAGGAGGAATCGTATGAACGGTTATGCCTTCAGGTGAGAGAGAAGTCGATCGCAAGTCTTAAAACTCGCTTGCCAGAACTCTTCGGGGTGTTGTCGGATTTTGCCTATTCTTGTTCAGAGATGTACAGAAGCTTGAGGTCCAAATCACCACATAATCCAAGTGAGAGCTCAGTAAGAGAATAGGTTTGTATCTATAATATGCCCATTTATTTTTGTTTAAATGATTTTTTTTCCTACTTATACGTTTAATTGTATCTATTAGTAACTTGTAAGCTTGTGCAATTTTCTTATGGGACAAAGCCCTCAAAACCATATACATAAAGTTGTTTCAATATATATTGAGAATTGAGAAACAATTCTCTCTCGTTGCTTTCCTTTTGTTATGGTATAGACTCTCTATTATGTACATGTTGATACATGTTGATGCAGTGAAGCATCAACACGTACATAAAATGAGTGTAGCGGAAATGAGAATGCTTCGTTGGATGTGTGGGCACACAAGAAAGGATAAAATTAGGAGTGAGGATATCTGAGCTAAAGTAGGAGTAGTCGAAATTGAAGGAAAGATGAGAGAAGATCGATTACGATGGTTTGGACATGTGAAACCAAAGCCTACTGACGCTTCGGTTAGAAGATGCGATTACGAGACAAATGTTTAGGGCATTATGAGACAGAGGCTCAGGGTCGAAGGGGTAGAGGAAGATTTAGGAAGACTTTGGAAGAGACTCTAATAAAAGACTTAGAGAACTTGAATCTAACGGAAGACGTGGCGCATAACTGAGCACAATGGCGTTCTAGGATTTATACAGCCGATCTCACTTAGTGGGAAAAGGCTTTGTTGTGTTGTTGTTGTTTTTGTATAGACTCTATTATGCGGGAAAGACTTATCTACACTATTTGGAATGTCATCGTAGCGCTTTGGACAATGATACAATGTCATGTATCACAACTTGGTGTCCTCGTTCCACATGTTTGGGACACTCCGTCTAATCATTCCATTTAATATTGACAAGCATATTGACACATGATCAACCGTCCATGTTTTATAAATGTACTTGTAAGTAACTGCTGATGCGACATCATCTCGATAGGCGATACGACTCAAAATTTTCCGTTTGGAAGGTAATCCTCAACCAAGTATCTTGACACCTTTTTAAAATAGTTGGTGAGGTAGATAAACCTTTTTAGGAAAAAGATGCATAGATGGTTAGAAACCACACACAAGCTGATGGAAAAGAATGAGAACTGCCTTTACAGTTACAGATGAGCTGATCCATCCAACCGAAGTTTTATAATGTCAAGGGCACACAACTTACACTCTACGCTTCATACGCTTTCGTTGAACATCGGTCACATACGAATACAATTGTCAAGGCAAACGTTGGTATTCTGCAGAACGTATACAAATCTTATGTACAGATGTATTTTTCAATCAATAACATGTTTGATTCCTGTGAGCAATTTGTTGAGACTCCGACTTGCACTTTGAAGAAAACAATCTCCAAGGGAGTAACAGGCAAAATGGGATTTCTCAAAAAATGTCGTCAAGTTATCCCAAGCAGCAAAACGCCTTTCTTCTTCTGTCTCGTGTTACGCTGTTTAGATTCACTCCAGCAGGCCTTGGGGGGCAAGCTCTTGCTAATCTCTTTGCTGCATAGGTGCGAAGGAAAACAACTTTCTAAGCATTGTCCGAACGCAAGTTAGAATGCAAAAACTCTAACTAGGAGACCGTCAAGTAATTACGATTAATACAACCCTACAAAACTAGGTGATAATCCTGCTATCCTAGGCACTAATATAACCTCAGTTCTAAAAATCTCTGCCTAGCGCCGCCTAGGCTCTAGGCCGCTGACCACCGTCCCGATTAACCCCTAGGCGTTTGAAAATTAAGAAAGGGCGCCTAGACCGGCTTAGGTGCCCGCCTAGCTCATCCAAACTAGGCACCCAACTAGATTGCGACTCTCACTTAGACAAAAAAGAGATCACTTTCATTTTGTATTATGTTATAGTACTTTATAATCTATCTGTTGTTCTACTTTGCAATTTATGTTTCACAATGCAATTATGTATTTTTTAAGTATAAGCAAACACTTATTTATGCGATATATAATAAATTTACTTAAATCCGCCTAGGCATTAGGTTCCAGCCCACCATCCGACAAGCGCCTAGCATCTTTTATAACCTTGAATATAACAGAAACATATCTTTCTTCCGGATAATAAATATAAATTTTACCTATTTCATGGAAAAGCTCGTTGATGTTCTGTGCGGTTTTGGCTGATGTTTCCAAGAAAAACATCCCATTCTCTTGAGCAAATTGCTCCCCTTCCTGGAACCCAATTACAAGAAAAATCAAACAGTCACCTATCATTTGTTTACAACTTTCGATCGAACAAACAGCGAAACATTTAATGTGCATTCCTAAGACATTCATGCAGATGGGAAGCGTAGGAGAAAGGGATATTGTGGAGAAGCTGTTGGAAATACCTCACTCTCGACCTCCCTTTTCGCCTCCAAGTCGCACTTGTTCCCAACCAATGCCATCACCAAGTTTAAATTCCCTGAAAAATGTAATAAATAATACATCATCTCTCAAGAACAGCCGGAGATCATTCCAAAATAAGCACACAATGCTGATAACGAATCATTTTCGAAGTGCAACAAAATATTCATCCAAAAACAGACGTACTACTTTAACATATAACATAGGAAACACAGAGATGTATGCAATACAAGAGCTAGACCAGGTTGTTTCAAATTGTACTAGCCAGACCGAGAAAAGCAATTAAAATTTTGACAGCAGAGGGCACGCGAAAGAGATGTATTGGGCCTGCCGCAGATTAATAATACAAACAACACAATTGTAGACCATGAAAGGTGACAAACTGCCCGAAAGATTCAGATGAGAATAGGAACTATATAGGAGGTATATGCAACTATCGGAACACTTCTAGTATACGAAGTAATTTAGATCACATATCTGATGAAATATTTGCAAAATACACACAAGTTTTTTTCTTTAACAAAAGCATATTATGAAGATTATATAATTATGATTACCATAAGACAAGAAGAGGTAAATCATTTTTAGTAATTCGACTATATGGTCTTTAAGATTGGAATCAGAGTTTAGGAATGGAAAAACACGATAAGAGCACTAGTGTTCAATCTTCATGTCCTTACCTTGCCTCTGCAATTCTTGAACCCATTTTTTGGCTCGAGTAAATGTATCCTGGGGACAATGCAAAATAGTAATCAGAGAACCATAGATAACTGTAATATATTATAACTCAGTATTGAACTGAATATCGTGCCAACATAGATATATTGGATTTAAAGTCACAAACTAATCAGAAGTATCTGCAAGCAGAGAGAGAGAGAGAGAGAGAAGGGCTGCACGCATTCAGCGTTCTAAAATGTGCCCTCCCATTGATTATTTATTACCGAGTTACTGAGTACGTGATATAAGTTGATATTATATTTCAAATGCAACTTTTGTTATAAGTGAAAAGTGATTCATAGGTACCGCGCTTGAGATGTCATACGCGACTACTGCTGCTGCTGCACCACGATAGTACATAGGAGCCAAGCTATGGTATCGTTCTTGTCCTGCGGTGTCCCATATGTCAAACTTCACAGTGGCTTCACTTAAAGACAATATCTGAGTGAAAAAAGCTGCTCCAATGGTTGGTTCCTGCATCAAGACATGCACCAAGGTCCTCAATTGTTCAACACATAAATTGGGAAAACGAAAGATTATATCGAAAGCAGGAGGCCAACAAATACCTGGTTATCGAAAAACTGGCCTTTGACAAATCTTAGCACCAAACTGGTTTTCCCAGTTCCCATGTCCCCCAGAAGTACCTGAAAAAAGAAACATTTAAGAAATTTAGAAATAACCCGTGTCTTTGTGAGACGATTCAACTAATATTGTCTATGCACTACATAATAAACACAACTACAAATAAGAACTAACATTTTTCCACTTCGTTCGGTACCAAAAATGTGATTACAATATCCAATCTAATCGTCCAAATCACTATAGAAAAATGCAGATGAAAATCAGATCCTAAAACTAAAAGGCGGTCTAGAGTAACAAAATGGCACACTTAGAAATGCTGCTTTGTTCAGAAATCCCGATACAGCCAACACAGCTAATGTTTAACTAGTAACTGAAGCATTGCAAACATTCGAACAAGGAAGCTTTCTAATTTTTATGGGAGGTCTCCACATCCCGATACAGCCAACACAGCTAATGTTTAACTAGTAACTGAAGCATTGCAAACATTCGAACAAGGAAGCTTTCTAATTTTTATGGGAGGTCTCCACAGTTTCATTGAATCAACTAGGAAATTGGAGCCGTAGAATACAGAATACCTTATATCCAATAGCTTCATTTGGATGGTCACAGAAGGTACATCAAACTTATGTGGGGTTGAAAATTTCCAGTATGCAGTTGGGAAAAAGTGCATATCTCTAAAATTTACATCAAATTTTGTATTCCGGGTAACATATAAAATTTAGATTCTTGAGGTAAGCAATTGCTATTAGAACCCTTGCAGATTCTCATAAAAATCTCTCCACAGATTAGCCTTTTTCATATCAACAAATAATGATAGATTGTAGCCGAAGGGAACAGAGCGAATTAAAAAAAAAATCAAATTAGAAAGAAATATAGCAAGTAAAGAATTGGAAATAAGAGAAAGGGTAAGACATACCTACCAGTTTGGCTTGTATGATCTTGTTGCCAGGCCTGGCCATTGGAGCACTACTTGATCAAAATTGTACAAGGTTTTGAGAGAGAGAGAGAGAGAGAGAGAGAGAGAAGTTGCAATAAAAGTGACAAGAAATTTTTGTGTGGATTTTGCTAGAAAATTAATAGTGAATAGATGGAGAAACTAGAAAGTAGACTGGTTGTTGTATTGACTGGTAGTTTAGTTGCACTTTGCACTTCTCCAATCTCAAATCTCAATGAAGGAGAAGAAGCATCCCTTCTTGTTGAGCAAAAAAAATAGAAAAAGACAGAGGGGAGCATTCCTCGTGGGTCTATATCTTCAAAAGGGCCCTATTAGTTTATCCGAGTCCATCGAATTCAGGAGTCTCTTGGCGTTGTTACTCTCAAAATTTACATACTGGGTTGTTCATGTTATATGAGTCCGTTTTATTGATCAAAACCCTAGACCTCACAAAACAAAATTAATGTTACATAAAACAAGTAGCAAAATTTCAACATTTTTACTATTGGATTCGAATAGTATTTGGATTATATCTTATAAATACATTTTCATAAGAATTCTATTTTGGTAAAATTATCTTTAGGATTTGTATGAGCTTCCGAGACGTTTGATAATCATTTTGTTTTCAATATT